GCCTGTGGCCATACTTGGTGCTACCGCATTGCTCACTTGGGCAACCAAACTGGCGGGGAAGGCGTGCCCCTGTTGGGTCGGAGATGTAGTTGTCTTGTGTCACCCCTACGGCTTTCACAAGGTGGGTGGGTTTTAAGTCCACTGAGAGATTAGGCTGGAGATATATACAGGGGTGGGCAAACTGTTTTACAATTGTTCATATAAAAAGAATACAACAATTAATAAATAAAAATACACGGATAAACTGTTTCACATACTCACAACTGTAAACCTACATTTGCCCAGCCCTGCACATAGATCTCTACTTAGGTAGCGTCGAGGGTGATAATGACCCGCAGTGAAGTTTACTGGGACGCACCATCCCTCGTGCTGCAAGAGCATCGTGGACATCTGGAGGGGGTGGGGGGAGGAGGAGTCAACATCCACGAAAGTGTTCCCAAGGGAAGTTGCATTTGAATTAAACGGACAGAAGAAACAAAATAGTGGATTTTCCACTGGATTACTCCAAAGAATATTCCGCGAATCCCCGCTGGAACCCAGTCTGGATGCGGGGCTGAGAGCCTTACTAGAGATCACCACCGGTCCCAATAACTCATGCCCTCGCCCCTGACCTTGGGGGCAGACCGAGACCTGCGGCCCCGAGTGCGGACCGGGAGGGGTAGAAAGGAAGGACAGAGGCCTCCAGGAAGCCTCCAAGCCCCAGCCTGCAAGAACGCGACTCTTTCTGGACGCGCGCCTGGGGCTGAGCTGGGCCCTGCAGGTGGCAGAGGTGGGCGCCCAGGCCTTGCGGGCTGTGGTGGTCGGTCCGAGGGCCCTTGGCAGGGCCGGCGAGGAGCCCAGACTTCTTGCCTGGGTAGGGACCGAGTCGGAATGCGGGAGGGTAGCGCTGAGAGCCGAAGGATCAAAACAGCCGAGGCGTGGCCCTGAGAAGGCGAACCGGAGTCGAAGTGGAAAGCACCTTGTCAGTCCCTCCTCTAGCTCACCCTTCGGACAGTGTCCGAGCTGGGGCGTGTGAGGACCGCCCTAGTGCAACCTGTCTTCCGAGACCCCTCCCCCGCCCCCCACCGCAGGCCGGCTCCTCTATGCCTGCCTCTTCCCACTGCCTAAAACAACCCAAGCCTCATCTGAAACCGGCGGAGCCTGGACTATGGGGGCTTCCCCTGCACGCGGTGAATGCCGGAGGGACACCTCGGGTCCCGAGTCTGGGAGCAGAGCTCCCCCTTGGGCCACCGGAACCTGAGGTGGCCCCGCCTGCGGGTAGGGCCCGATCCCCGGTTTGGGCAAGAACGTGGGTCCCTATCCCCTTCTCCTGTGCCCACACAACCTCCGCGCACTTAAGTGAACATTTCAAACGGCCAAAAAACTGCCTCAATCTGGACAAATAACTGCAACGAATGGAGGGAGAGGGAGTATGCAGGTAGCGGTTCCTGAGTCTAGCGCTAATGTCCCCCAAGCCCCTTTGGAAGGAGAAAGGCAGCCGCAGCTGTCCCGCACGCTCTCCTGAGGTGGGTGTGCGTGTGTTGGGGGGCGGGGGGGCGAGAGGGAAACGGGCGCGTAGGACAGTCAAAGGCGAGGAGAAGTCACCCCCAACAGTGAGGGCTCCCACCCAGCCCTTCTGTCGCGGGTCCTCACTGGAACCAAGGAATGTCTGCTCCCTGAGCTTGGGAAAGAGGTTCTGCCAAAGGAAATGTTAAGTGGGGCCTGCCAAAGGAGGAGGAGAAAATTAATTAATGAGGGAAAGAATGTGTCTCTGATCCAGATGATAGACTCCCTTTCCCCGGGGGGGCGGAAATTCCTTGGAAATCAATAGCTGTGCATTCATTATCCGCCCCTTGATAAAATGCAAAGCTATGAGATGGGGGAGGGGTAGTCTGTGTTGGTCATTAAACAAGGAGGAGGGGGTGGGGGTGGGGACCTGCGCAGGAATCTATGCCAAGGCTCAGCCCCACGTGGGCATCTGTAGTACAGGCAGGGGGCAACTAGTTACTGCACCTGCCAAACGGGGAAAACGGTGACATATCCCTGGGCGGAGCTCTGGTCCATCACCCTTTCCGTTCACTGCCTTGGGGTAAGTAGGGGGAGGCTTGATAAGGTCTAAGGCACACCTGCTTCTAGATCCACCACTGTGCCCCACTCACTAGCCTGGGGCTAATGCCCAGCAGGGATATGGCAGGGCAATTCTCCAACCATCACCCACACCCTATACCCCATATTTCTCTACCTCACATTGCACCTGTCACACCTGTACCATAAACACCTCTTCCTTCACCTGTAGCTGCCTCGCTGTCAGAGATTGTCACCTCCTGGAGGGCAGATACCCACCCATATTTTACAACTCAGTTGATCTCCAGTGTCTTGCCTTGGCCCAGATTGGTGCCCAGCAAGCATCTGAGGAAGGAAGGTAAGGTAGAAAATAAACGAGAGAGGGATGAAATAATTGATTTTGGAAATAGAACGTCTAAAGTCAAGATGTACAGCTCTGTGTGAGGACAGCACACCCCTCTGGCCAGTCTCCATCTCCTTTTTAGGGAAAAAAGAGACCTATCCGGGATCCTCCTGCTTGCCCTCCAGGAGCCCAGGCTTGGTGAAGCCTCTCTGGCTTTAATCCTGGCCCTCCCCATCTGGCTCCTCTTCCCTCCTATTCATTCGTATTGTTGTATGGGGCATTTTTACTCAGTTCAAGCACCTTGATAAGCACCACAGTGGACAAAGATGTGCCTTAAATGGACTTCCAATCAATTGGTTGGGGAGTGGGTTGAGAACTGTGCCCACAGTCCTCATATTTCTAGTCCCTGGAAAAGCAAGATATTCTGGGCAAAGGTCTGAACCCCCGCCCCCTCCTGATAAGAAGGGATCCGGTGTCCAAAGAGGTAAGGCATTGAATTCCTGACCTTAATCCGGGTGCCTCTCCACTCACTGGGATTACTGGTGCCCTCCAAGCTTTGGAGGGTAAACCAAGATGAGCTTTGGGTACTCTGGGGTTCGCCTTGCTCTCTGGAGGTCCACCTGGGCCCAAAGCTGTGCTGTTTGCGTTTCTGTCTCCCTGAACCCTTCACGGCCCCTAAAGGTCAGCGTTTTGCTTGTGTGGGTGCTAGTATCCCAGTGCTCGCCCGCAGCGGGGCCCTTCTTCCCTTGAGGGAGAGCGGAGGGTATCAGAAGGGATTAGGTTAAACCTGGACACCCGCTGCGACCACTGCGTGGGACTCTCTCGCTCCCTCCAGCGCTGTCCTGCTCATCGTCCATTTCTCGTAGAGATAAAGTTACATTTAGCACTCCCAGGGGACCGTGTAATGGATGGAAACTCGGCTCCTTCTCGCACCAGCAAATGAACATTCCTCTTACTCCCTCCTTGGGCTGCAAGGGGCAGGTTGGAGGTGGGGGTGGGGGCAGAGAGAAAATAAAAGAAAGGAAGAAAAGAAAAGCCACGGTGACGCCTGTGGGCTTCTCTTAGAATTTGATTAGTGACTGAGTATGCTAAATACACAGGCTATTGTCCAAAGAAAAGATAAAATCAAACGCGAATGCAAATTTATGTTTATAGAAATGAGATCTGCTCATTGGTGGGCATACAGATCCCTTTGGCGTGGGAGAGACCAGGAAAATTATTTATCTGATCTCTGCCTCCCATGAGCAGCCCTTTGCGGCTCTCCAGCTCTCTCGCCCCAGATGTGATAACATCTGGGCTATTATCACTCCGGGCTAGTGCTGCTCCTTGGGGACTCAGGCACCTGAACTATGGTCCCCTGTGAGGCCCTGGATTTGTCCTCCAGAAAAGGGCCATACAATAGGTCGGGTAATTGATTTATTCTTCTTTTTAGGTTTTGATTTTACAGTAACAAAAAATAAATATTGTAAAAGCCAGGTCAGAGCTTGGGCCCGTTCTTTCAAATTGGTTTGGGTTAATATTTTAATTACATTTTTTAATAAACTGGCTTAATCCTGTCTCCTATTGAAGAAAAAATATATATGGCGAAGAAGCCAACAGGATGGGAGGAAAAGAAAGTTCTCTTTCCAACATCTTATTCCCTTTTCTCTGAGGTGATTTCCTTTTCCTGGAGTTTCCAGGATAAAGTGTGTGTGTGTGTGTGTGTGTGTGTGTGTGTGTGTGTGTGTACGTGCGCGCGCGCTGAGGGAAGGCAAGGATCCCAACTACACCCTGTTAACTATTTTTCCTTTTGTTTACTAGAAGCCTCAGATCACCCAAAGCTCATTTGAAATGTGGGTTTGTACACAGTTAAAGGAGACAAACAATAAGAGAAAGACACAATTTCATTTCAGCAGCCGTTCCCGAGTAGAAAGCACACGCTCCTTGTGGCTTCTAAGTGGCTGTCACTGTCGGTGCCTGACACAGTTATATTCACAAAAACAACAACAAAAGTATGCGGAGGAAATTAAATTATAAGGAAATCAATAGCGTCTGACTGCTTCAAACGAATGTCTGTCACCGCGATTATTCTCCAGGAAGCTATTTATAAACCTTGAAAGAAACAGGTTCTTGCAGCACAGGACAGCACCTTCTGCATTTCTGTGTTGTTATTTATACTGTATACAGAGGAATGCGCGGGCATAATTTAACATACAAATGCCCAGCTCTATACATTATATAACAGCTTGTTAGACATCCCAGCGAGGAGGTGTGCCTAAGTAATGCGCATATATTCTGGGCTTGCGCTGGGGAGGGGGTTGAGAGAAGAGGGGAAACCGTGGGCAGCGAATGAACACTGTGGTTTTCTCTGCTTAAAAGGTGCCTACCCTCAGACAATAGCTGGCCCTTTTGATCTTTTCAGACCCGAGGTGGGAAAGGTAAGGTGTGCAGTGCGCATGCCTGGTCAGCTACAGGTACAACACCTGCGCTGTCCTTGCTGGTGGTCACTATAAGAGTGGCTCCCACGCGCC